CCGCAGGATAATGTAAAAGTGAAAAAATGCATTAAAGACAAAGAATTAATATTTTTAATCACGTGCAATTCATTGAGTATCCGCAAGGGGACACTGTTTTGATCAGAGAAGAAGACAACAGCAGCTTCAGTCTGTCACTGAGACAGACCCATGACAGCAGACGCTATCAATAGCACTCTCACATTTACACATTTAATAGCACTCTCCTTAGTTTGTAAGGTGTAGGCAGGGATTACATTTAGATTTTATATGCACGTGTAAATGCTTTAAAACTTGCTTTCTTTATGAATCTTGTTTAATCTTAAAGTGCATTACTATATTTTTCAATACCAATTACTTGTTAAAGTTTGTACAATCAGTGGGATCAGTTGCAATGCATATATGTGAATGATAAAAGTAAATTGCACATTTGTCGAAGGAAATGTAGGGTGCTTCATGAAATGTTTTGTAAAAGATATGTTCATTAAATTTCAACATTTTCCTAATGTTCTTGTGCTTCTTTATACCAAAACAAAGGAAAGACATATTGTTTTGGTTATTTATAGCAAAGTATTGTATCATTTTAATGGTCCGGCCCACTTGACATCTACCGAGGCCGTATGTGGCCCACCATGTGAAATGAGTTTGACACCCCTGGTCTAGCCATTGCGAATGGAGTTTGTCAACGCTGTCCTTGGACCAACAATATTTCCATAATCGTTTCAATTATGACCATGCATCGCCAAATGTTGTGAGCTATTGTTTGGAGATACATGATGAATAAATGACACTAGCTTGAGGCGTTTGCATAAATGGGCCTATATTAAAGTGCTATTGTGCCAACATTTTTTTGGTTTCATTTTGTGTATTTTGCAAAGCATCTCACCTGTGAACAAATTTGATTTCAGCTAGGTTGCAGAATGTTAAAATGGCTCATAGTCTCTCCGTTACAAATGGGGTTCAAGATTTGCCCTCTGAGCTGTTTTATTTCCTACTGACTTAATTTTGTCAAATTAAGAGCCTATTTTTCCAAATGTTATGAAACACAAATTTGGACATCTACTATAAATATCTGGCAATTTTTTTTTTTTTTTTTTAGTTGATCCATATTGAAGTGCTTCTATTAGAAACATTTTTCAATTGTGAAGATTTTCATGATTTTAGCTCGCTCGAATCTTGTTAAAATAGTTGGGATGTCCAGTAAGACTGGAGTTCATTGTGGACAAGTTCTGTCCTTGGACACATCTTATTTACCATTTATACAGTGCTTTTCAATTAGGAGCATGTTCCCAAAAGTTTTTTTTTTTTTTTTTGTCAGCAAACAAGCAATAAAGGCATATATTTTCAAATGTGTGACTTATTTGCTCCGTTGGCCAGTCGTATAAATACTTCAGCATTTAGTTCAATTGGTCTGTGTTTTAGTACTTCCATTAACAAAGTGGCTTTTCTTTTGAATAAAACCCTGCTTTCCTCTGTTGACAAGAAGACATTGCTGAGCCAGTCTTCCTCTCTTTTGGACCACAGCGACGTTATTTGTGGTTTGGAGAGACAGTCGTACTCGTAAAACTGTAGCTGCAGTATTTCACTGTCCATAAACTTGTCGCGTTTCTGCAAATGTTTTTTTTTTGTTTTTTTTTTTTTTTTGTCAGCAAACAAGCAATAAAGGCATATATTTTCAAATGTGTGACTTATTTGCTCCGTTGGCCAGTCGTATAAATACTTCAGCATTTAGTTCAATTGGTCTGTGTTTTAGTACTTCCATTAACAAAGTGGCTTTTCTTTTGAATAAAACCCTGCTTTCCTCTGTTGACAAGAAGACATTGCTGAGCCAGTCTTCCTCTCTTTTGGACCACAGCGACGTTATTTGTGGTTTGGAGAGACAGTCGTACTCGTAAAACTGTAGCTGCAGTATTTCACTGTCCATAAACTTGTCTGCTGTATCAGTATGGACGGATCAGCATATATTTTTCTTTGGACAAATTAGTTTTTGTTGTTATTGCCTTACCGGTTTTAAGTCCCCGTGGATGAGTTGCACATCTTTGAGCACTTTCAGACACTTGAGCACATCGATGGCATATTTCCTGATGTCGGTCTCACACAGTCGTCGCAATTTACTCTCCACTAAGGCTTTATGGAGGTCCTTTCTAAAAATAAATGAAGTGCATTAAATTAAGATTCAACAGGTCTGATTAGAGGAAAAGTCCCCCAAAGTCTTGACCTTACTCAAATAGTTCAAAGGTGATGCAGAGGTGACTGCGGAAGTAGAAGTGCTCCTTCATGTGGACCATGTTGGCTTTGTTGGTCCTGTCTAGTCGCTGCAGGGTCTTTAGATTGTCCAACTCTGTCTGTGCCATCTTATGACCTCTTGAAGCAGAAATGATGTCATTTCACTGGCACACAATGTGACAATACACTGAATGGCTGCTCATTCACAAAACTACCCATTTTTTCTGTGGAACCCAAAATGAGCTAGTCACTGAAAAATGCACCTAATCACCAATTTTTGGTCTCTTTCTATAACCACCTAAAATTTCACAAGATGATGTCAAAGCAGTGGCCAATATAAAAACAGTAAAATTGCCGAAGGAGTGTTGGTGAAATGACACATCTCGACTGAAGAAAAAAAAAATTTCAAGTTAGCAGCTACATTTAGCTTTTTTTTTTTTTTTTTTTTTTTTTTTTAATGTAAGTTATTGAGAGTCTTCTCTGTGTGTTATTTGACATTCCTTGAGTATGTGGTCAACAGATTGTCTGAGCTGTGCTCTTTGTGATTGCGCCCTTAAACGGGACAATATGAACTATTTTTCTCCTTTGTATTCTCCCATCGTCTGCCCCGTTGTATTATGCTGCGTCTCACAGGTCAGTCTTGGTACGATGCAGACATCTGGTTTGGGGTAGGAGACTCTCATTGTGTGGTGTGTGCGTGTTTTGGTCATCTCAAGTACACAACCACTAGACACCTTTTGCACGTAATGTCACTGGCTTCGTCGGAACGGCCCCTCCGGCACTAACTATATGCGTCATGAAATTCCTGCAAAGTTTATATTCCTGTATCCATTTATAGAAGCGATTATCTTCTAAAATAGTCATATCTTGCTGTGCGGTCAGCTGTACTAATAGACAAGGGTGTAAACCAAACTGGGCTTTTCATCACATACCTACTGATGTAGATAAAAAATGGTGATGAATAAGGCAGATAAATCGGCCCTCAAAGTATTGAAGGATTTGAAGCGCTCATTTTTTACAGGTTAATAGGTCATTGTTCATATCTTTTACTCATGATCGTTAAATTACTGTGTATTGCTTTGCGCAAACATAGGGCGGACAGAGCAGTTGGGAGTGTTGGATGTCATGGCCAGATGGGGAAAAATAACTTATTCAGTCGCTAAGTTGCTAAATCGCTGTTTTCCGTCCACTTCAATTCGGCAGTCATTAACTTTTTATGTACGTCATGGTGCACTTACATCAAGTAGCTGCGAGTACACTCGTTTTGGTTAGCGTAAACGACAGAATGGAAAGAACTCCCTATGGTGGTGTTAAGGTCTGAGCTGAGATGGCAGGGTCCTTACTCTGCAGTGTTTCGAAAGACCTTGATGGCAACAAGTGTCATGGTCTTGTGGTCCCTGCATTTGAGCACCTTTCCGGCCAGTCCCGATCCCATCACCCCCAGCACCTCAAAGCGGTAGGCCAGGTGGTCTCCAGCCCTCTGCAAATGAATGAAATTCCATGTGTTATTCCATAGTAGTTCCATAGAGGCTATACTTCTGTGTATAGCCTTCTGGATGGAAGGATCTGCTCTGTGAAATTGGTGGATGCTTACCACTTTGTAGAACCCTTTGGAGTCGTCGAAGGACTCGCCCTCCGTTGCCGATGTGGAGTCTTTGGAGCGTCGCATTTTCTTGGCCTTTTCTCCCAGGTACCACACGTGGCGGTATTCCTTGATTTCGTTCTGCTCGTATGGCGTCAGGCATCGCTTGGTATCCCGGAGAACCGCTGTGGCACAGTGCATTGTGGTTCTCGTTTTCGTTGCAACGGTATCGGCAAATATCAAAGGAGCATTAGAGGTACTTACATTCTGGAGTCCTGCAGTGTGACTGGGAGGTGAGGATTCTGTTCCTGGAAGAGCTTTTGTTTACCTGAGTTGAAACACATTAAAAGAGATTAATGATGGCTTTTGTTATTAATTATTGACACTTCCATCTGTGTGTTTATTTCAAAGAGGTTTTGTTACATTGCACTGTTTTGAACCAGTATAGACTCCTGCTCAGATCTGAATTTCTGGTACCCAGGTGCAACCCTACAATGAAATAATTGCAAATCTGCTCAGCTATGCAACCTTAAAACTATCCATCCATCCATCCCTGCATTTTCTGATCTGCTTATCCTCAAAAGGGTTGCGGGGTGTGCTGGAGCTTATCCCGGCTGTCTCTGGGAAGTAGGCATGGTACACCCAGAGCTGGTTGCCAGCCAATTGCAGCACTTCAAATTAACAATTATTAACCTTAGATCCCGTTGCAACTGAAAACAGTATAGAGAGTTACATATACAGAGTTTGATGCTTTGCACCACTGAGCCATTCAGAAAACATGATAGTAAAACAAATGGTAGAGTCTTATTTCATTGTCACTGATGGTATCACATACAAAAGCACAATATTGCGTTTTTTCTTCCAATAGCATGATCTTTTTTTCCCCGAATATCGTGAGTTTTTCTACGTGTCACCAACCTCTCCATATTGCTAATGATCATATAATGAGGTTCACATCACGATAACATTGCATCATGACGTTTTGATATCGTTACATCCCTACTATTGGAACATCCGATCGTATTTTTGAAGAGACGAGCCCAAACCCATACCGATCCATCCCCAGACATGTACTCACTCGAGCACAGACTTGTTGGGCGGGCGTCGAGATTGTTTTCTGTTGAGTCATGGGAATTTGCGGGAACCCGAGTCTGGTTTTGTACAGGGGGTTCGACGGCAGGGAGGTCTGACGATGGACTGCCACTTGGATGTTTTTGGTTGATTTCAGCACCTCCTTGTGGACTCTTGTTGTCGGAATCTAGAAAATGGAGAAGGGAGAGTCCACATCATTGTCATACGTAATACATTTCATTTCATGTAACAATTATTGATCGCATCTAACCCACGGATTCAGGTTTTCACAACCCTGGATGAAAGTGCATGAGTGGCAGACTGATCAATTCAAATATCGATACCATCGTTGGCACTGATATTGATCGATACATGTAATAAATGTTCAATTTTTTGTATGTGTTCCTTGGGTTTCATCAAATATAGGCCAATATTTCTTTTAACTCAATGCTTTGGAGGTTCTTAAGGTATTTGCACTTGTTTGCACAATCAATGTTCTTATACTATCTACGGTCTTGTATGTTCCCTAATTTGTAATTCAATAAAAGAATGACAATTGACAAATTATTTTGATCCTGATCTATTGTTTCCCAAAAATAATAATTTATTGGCTAATAGGTACATTCTCTTTACCTATAAACTTTGCAAATATCTGTCCAGGATTTTTAAAAAAATCAATGTCGTGAAAAAAAATATGGACAATCCACCTCAAAAAGTTTCATGAAATTCAGTTCTAAATTAGCAATTTTTTGATTCATCCACCTTTTTGATTCATCCACCTTAATGATCATAAGATTATATATAAGTAAGTATTATAAGTAAATATATATAAGTATTAGTATTATAGTATTGCAATTGATGCACCAGATCTTGCACAATACTAGAGTGAAAATGGAATGGTGCTTCCTCTAATTTTGTATGTATTTTAATTTGTGAATGGATGTCTTCTGAATTGTATTTATAATGCATACTTATAGTAATCAACAATGCTATAGCGTTGTTGCTGTTGTTGTTGTTTTTAATGTATTTACTCCCTTACAAAAATGTACAGTCTTATCTCTGTGTCCAAAAGGCCATTTCCCAACGGTTGTTATCCAAAACTAACCTTGTTGAGTTGCTCGTTAGTTGCCTTGTCACATTTTGGTGCGGCTGCTTGCATCTTCCCGGGTGCCGCTTTCTGAAGTGGCGAGCATCTCTCCTTCTTCTTGATGAGTGTCTACAAAAGTCGTCGTGGTCTTTTGCACACTCCCAGCGGGGCGCGTCCACGTCGCATGCGCTTTTATTTGTAACAAAGTGGCGTTGGCTCGTCATCGCCGCATGAAAGATGGATTTGGAGCCGCGCGGCGGCACGTCAGCGGTGTCACGGACGTCAGGTAACAGCCGGGCTAGCCTGGGTGACGCGAGGCCGGAAGGGAAGGGGGGAGTCTTGAAGTACCTGCTGATGGGGGCCGGGGGCCATATCGAAAATATGCCGAATTGTGCGGACTGACAGCGCACAACGCCGTTGCCATGGTAATACGCGGTGCAGAGTAATATAAAAACAAACTAAAGAGGTATAATGATGTACAATTAAAATGCATTACAATAAACATTATGACCTATTAATGTAGAAATGCTAATCATAAATATATCATGCATAACACATGTTCAAGGACGGTGAGACACTGGGGCAAAGGGGGTCTTGTAGCCCAGCCAAGCCACCACCGCCCCCCCCCCGCCCCCCAACAATTCATTTACACACACACACACACGCACACACACACGCACACACACACACACACACACACACACACACACACGCAC